AACTCCCTCCTCTACTTTCCACACTAAACCATGCTCATTAGGTTTCTTAATCCTCCATAATTTGCTTTCATTAAATTTTATACCTTCCCGTTGGTATGTTCTATGAGTCCATTTCCTTAGCATACCTATTGCAAGCAGCCCAGAATCAACAGCACTAAACAAGCTTATTCACTTTCCCAGCCAACATGATCCTATTCTGCACTATGTATGTCTCCAACATACTCTGTAGAGTCATGTTGCCTTGAGGTGGGTTTGGGGGGATGAGGGAAGGAGTCTTTGTTTTGAATGTTTATGGACCATGAAACTATACCATTTAACTTGGTATTTCATTTTCTCATCCAAACATTGCCTGAGAAGGTTGGGACCACGGAATCAGACACTGGGTTAACTTGAATGTACAGTTATAGGCTCCAGGTTTTTTTTGGTCAGAAAGCTATTCTATTTTAACAGAACAGAAATAACAATATCCTGATGTTACGTAGTGACTAGTAAATTCCAACTATATCTTTCAGAATTCAGGAGAGAAAAACATCTTTTTTCAGTTATTCTGCAAGAGTTCTGCTTTTCCAAATGGGTTGTTTTTCAAAGACATGCATGTTCTTGAAATCTGACTACACACCCGACTCTGGTCTTTTCAACAGTTCATCCTCTGCTTTCTCTTCCATTCTACTCATCACTAGCACCTTTGCTGATGGGTATGTTTTTTGTTTTTAACTTCCTAGGGACTTCAGTTAAATTTTTTTTTTTTTTTTAAGAAACTTGTTAGTGAATTGAAAGAGTTAATGAAATTTCCAAAGGTGCCTAGCTTATTCAAGCAAAGTTTACACTTCAACCCTGAGCAACTTAACTTGTGATCCTCCCCAACCAAATGACAGAAAGCAAAGCCAGTAAGTTCTTTAATTGGTTTGCATCCACACACTGACCTCCAGAGTTCTGTTTACATAGCCTATCATGCAATATGCATCACAGTTCTCTGCTTCTCTCAAAATCATGTTTCTCCTGAGATTTGATATATGGCTTTCTTGTTTAATCACTACATTAAACTCAATGTTCTGCTTCCTCCAGAACATTCCATAACTTCCCTTCTTGGGAGGTGGAGAGAAGAGGACAGCTTCTTGCTACTTCTGGACATAAAAGGAAGTCTGTTTTACTCTATTAGTAAAATCACCAACTATTGTACATACACTCATAGGCAAGCAACACTAATAGATCAACTGGGAACCTTTTAAAAAGTCCTTTAGAGAGATTACTCTCAACTGGCGAAGACGAAATCTTTAGACACGAATCAGTTATACTAAACCAACAGAAATGGAATTCAATCAGTATACAACTCAGGATGTGGAGGACTCAGCTAGATGGCAGGTAAGGTTTAAATCAAGTTAATCAAGATAGAACATTCTTTTGGTTTTCTCTCATAGCACCTCTGCTTTTTGGTTGAGGCTCTGTGTGTGTGTGTGTGTGTGTGTGTGTGTGTGTGTGTGTGTGTGTTTTAAAATATATTTTATTTATTTATTTATTTTTATTTTTTATTTTATTTTTTTACAGAGAGGAAGGGAGAGGGATAGTTAGAAACATCAATGAAAGAGAAACATCGATCAGCTGCCTCCTGCACACCCTCTACTGGAGATGTTCCCGCAACCAAGGTACATGCCCTTGACCAGAATCAAACCTGGGACCCTTGAGTTTGCAGGCCAACGCTCTATCCACTGAGCCAAACCAGTTAGGGCAGATTGAGGCTTTCTTAAACTTCACCACAAATAGAACTTTCCTCTATTTATTTGTTTGTTTGTTTGTTAAATATTTTTATTGATTTTTTTTTTTTTAGAGAGAAACATTGATGTGAGAGCAAAACATTGATCAGCATCCCATACACCAAAAGGTGCCCTGCTCAGAAATTGAACCAGCAACCTTTTGATGCATGGAATGCCACCCAACCAAGTGAGACACACCAGCCAGAGCAAACTTACATCTCTTTAACAGAATGTGGACATGTAATACCACAATCCTTCCATAAGAATTTGTACGTGACCCAAATTTTAGAGATAAAAACCTCAAAAAATGAATAGGTCTCTTTCAATAAGTCAAAACAATCTATAATTTTCAGGTTTTAAAAACATGAAATGTATGTATTTTACTTTTAAATATTTCAAGAAAAAAGAAAAGTGAAACAAATATGGCAAATCATTTAAAATAGTAAAATCTCAATGAGGGATATATACGTGCTTATTATACTATACCATGGCTACTTTTATAGTTCATATTTTTCATTATAAAATTTTTTTGAAAATTAAAAAAAAAATTGTCCATGGGTTGCTTTTGAAAAAAAAAAAAAAAAAAGACACAATTTTAATAAGAAAAAATTAAATCATTCTCTAGGTTGACCATTTTGGTATACTAGTATAGTCAACAACTGACATTTTTCACCAGACAATGAAAACTTTCCTTCCTTCCTCCTGAATCTGACCCCACTGCCTGAAACTCATTTACACAAACTGCAAATATGGAGTAAGCGCTGCATAAGTTGGATTCTTGAAAAGAAAAAATGTTTTTTATGTGTGTATAATTTTACTTTGAAACACTTTATGGCTAGTTATTGACCATAGATTTGTTTTTAAGGGATTTTTCCCTTAGTAAGATGGCATATTCCTTCATTTAAAAATCTTTGTCAGGAACATTGTTACAGCTGTATATAACATTAAACAGAGTTAGTTTACTTTCTGTATTTGATGAACAATAGAGATTCTGAACCTATTAAAGTAATACATTTAATTGTTCCAATATGCTACCTTATTTCTAACCAAAATTTGCATGATATAGAATGCCAAAGACTGCATTTCTAATTTTCTTTGTCATGATTCCCTCATTTATAGTTAGCTAAAAGAGTTTATAAGAAAAAAAATCTGTTTATTTGAAACCATCTAATTCTTTCCAAAAATGTATTTAAAATTAAAACACACACACACACAAATAAACTTTTAATCAGTATTTCCCAAAAGATTTTTCAGAGTACAGGACTTTATAAGTTTTCAAAGACATGCAGATGTTGTCCATGATAGACAGTTAAAAAAAAGTAGGACTTGAAAAAATAATACTCATGAACAAAATCTTTGGTCATAAGAGTGGAAGATGTGTGTCTGTACAGATGTTATAACTATTTTCGGAATGAATACCAACCTTCACTACAGGAATTTAGCAGCACACTTAAATTTGGATTTGAAAATTTAACATAAATTTTCTGACTTTGACAATAGCTGCCTAATATTTCAGTTTTGTATGCCATTTCCAGGTTTTACCTTCAAAATGAACCTGGTGGACTTTTTCATTTTTAAAAGCTATATTCCAGATCCTGGAGCTTAAAACCAGTTTCTGACTTGATATTTAGGGAATTAAATCAGATTATAACACCCAGTGAGTTATTAATAAATATTTTTGGTGACTGATTGGCAATCAATGATAAAAAGATATGCAGTTTTATGTAAAAATTCATTTTTCATCAATTTTATTCATTTATTTTTATTATACTTAAATATTTTAATTTTTAAATATATTTTTATTGGTTTTGGAGAGGAAGGGAGAGGGAGAGAGAAATATCTATAGAAACATCAATGATGACAGAGAATCAGTGATTGGCTGCCTCCTGCATGGCGGCCTGTAAAGGGGATTGAGCTCACAACCAGGGCATGTGCCCTGACTGGGAATGAAACTGTGACCTACTGGTTTATAGGTCAATGCTCAACCATGGAGACACACTATCCAGGCTTACAGATTTTACTTAATAAAAATGACAAAGATTTTTCACCCTATTTTGAATCACCTCTTATAAATCCATAAAAAACATCAAATAGTTTACATAACTCACTGTGTCTTTAATCTCCTTATAAGTCAATACTGTAAACCAGAAATGCTTGTCTTATACTATCAATGTCACACGTGACTCAAAAGCCCAAGAACACACAGATGGAAATTTCTGGAATCACAGTTACCAAATTAGGTGAAATTGTTAACTCAAATGTCCAAAGTTTATTTTTAAAGAGTCTCATCAAATTGGGGATTTTACATTTATACAATAAAAGGAAGAATGAGCTTTTGGGGGAAAAAATGAGCATGTTAGCTCCTTGTCACCACTATCATCTATATAGTCTTGGTTCTTTTGTGGACATAATAAAGAAAAACTTCTATTTAAAAAAAGTAGTAATGTTATTTTTATTTAATAAGTTATATATTCTTCTGCAAATTACTTCTCCTGGAATAGAAAGTTAATGTTTATTTATCTATTAACAGTTCACTAAAGAACATAATTTCCTTGTACCATACATGAGGCCATTTTTGTGCTTAATTGTAAACATCATCAAAAACTCCAAGGCTCACAGACCTTAGCAAGTGATAAAGACACAAACATAATAAGGATTATATGGCTACATTTGTGCTTAATAAGAAGAAAACACCAGAAGTATGCCACTGTTTGTGAGAATACAAATTTTGTTTTGATAGATACAAAATAATGGCTTAAGGTGACCTTAGTTTTCCATTACCCACCCTCCAACAAAACAACTAAAAAATGACTAATAAGTCATAGACAAATATCTATTTCTATTGATTAAACTCTTTATAGTTTACTGGGTTAGATGTAAATATTACCCACTTTTGATAACAGGACACTTGCAGAGAATCTTCAAATTATTCAGGATGCTTTGTCCACTGAGAGACTAACTCTATTTTGAGCAATGATTTTGCACAACCCCACTTCTGCTTTTAAAATAAAGCTACAGATAGAGAGCATTAATGCTTCTTGCAGAACTATCAGGAATCCCATAGTGAACATCTCAAGTGAGGATTCCAAGCAGCTCAGAGCCCTGCTTTGAGGTGGGGTTCATGTTTTGAAAAGAGACTGCCTCGTCTGTTTAAAATCAAAATGGTTCTTGATCTGATGAATTACTCCTCAGAGAATAATGTCCCGTAAATAAAATATACTCAGAATAACATTATTAATGTAAACATACCTGAACCAGAGTCAAATTTGGTTTCTGACCTGCAAAGGGAAAAGACATTTTTTACAATATAAAAATCGATTATTAAAGAATAACTATTACTTTATGAGGAGGGCAAGGGGTAGATGCAACAGTTACAGATTTCAGTACAGTGGTCAACAAGTAAAATAGCTCTAAAAATGTAAACAGATATTTATATTAACCATTTTAAATGTATACATTACCCTAGGTCCCCTAAACATGCAGCTATTCAGAGAGATAGCACAGCATGGAAAAGATATTAACTTCTCATTTGTTTTTGAGAGAAAGAAGGTAAATTATATATATATTTTAAAAAGCACCCAGTCTCTACAGATTAACTTTTTCAGTAATATATCAATAATAAAACAATTTTTAAAAACCCACAAATTTGAAACTATCCTCTTGACCTATTATTAAAGATTTTTAATTATTTAACACCAAGTATAATTTTTCATTGAGTTCTTCACAGAGTAAATGAACCTAGTAACCCCATATGTTTAATAAGTAGGAGGGAAAGAATCCAAGCCCTTGTGGGAACATTATGTTTCAGATATAGGTTAATACTGGTTGTAAATTCAGAAGCCTTTGAAGCTCTCGGTTCGGCTGTGGGAAAACTTCTGTGAGGTAATTACTCTCGAGATGCTGCTGATGTGCTGTCAAGCAGAATTAACCCCAAGACTAGGCCTATCTACACAAGCTCCTCTAAGACAGCATTGTCTATATCTAGCTCTCAAACCAATTAGTGGGCATGCTCCAGTCAGGTCTACATCACACATTAACAATCAGTAGTATATACGTTCACAGCTGCCACCCCAAGATACAAGGACCGGCCAGCAGGAGTCCTGTTAAAGGATGTTATGCTGACAGAGAGGATTTTTTTTCTTGGGGAAATGTAGTTAACTAAATGGGGAAAGAGATTTCTTTGAAATTATGCCAGGGTACCACAACCCTTTTGGAAGCGGTGGCTTTTATTTTATTTTTTTAACCTAAATTAGCATAAAGAGAAGTCAACAAAAGGTGGAGAGGCAGAAGATAAGCAAGAAGTGGCTTCTTTTGTCACAAAAATTTATTTTCTCAAGTACTCCCAAATAAAGTTTCACCTGCTGCTTAAAGTCAGTAACTGAGAACAAACCAATTATTATTATCACCATGGTTATCATCACCACTGTAACCCAGGTCCACATTTTTCCTCAATCCTGGGCCCCCGAGTCCGCATCTCAGTCCTTCTCTTAGATGTCCCTCACACCTGTTCAGGAGCAAGCCATTTTCATTTTTTTCTCTACTCTGGAAAGCCTCACTCAGGCCTCTTTGTTTCCACATTCTGAGCATAACTCTAGCTGACACTGGCCACGGTCGTCCTGCTCGTTTCCTTGCCTATCTTCTCTTTCCCACTAGATTATGTCTGTGAACCTTTGCAGCCACAACACCTATATAGTGCCTGCTGCTTGGACTCAACAGAGAGCTGTTGAGAAAAACATCCTATCTCTTTGCCTGTATGTTCTTCCTTCTGTCTAAGGTTCCCTTCTACTTATGTCCTAAAGTGCATTCTCTCGTCTCCCTGAAACTAGACCATACCAATTCCTCCTCGCTCTGTCATATCTTCAGTTTCTTGGTTTCCACAGGTTTCTCCTCTCTTCTTAGAAGTGCTTCAAAATTGAATAAAAGCCTGCCTTTAAATCTGTTCCCTATTCTCATCCTCCTTCCTTCTTTTTCTTTTCTTTTTTTCTTTTTTTTTAAAACATTTTCTTTATTGATTTCAGAGAGGAAGGGAGAAGGAGAGATAGAAACACCAATGATGAGAGAGAATCACTGATTGGCTGTCTCCTGCACACCCCCCACTGGGGATCGAGCCCCCAACCCAGGCATGTGCCCCTGGCTGGAATCAAACCTGGGACCCTTCAGTCCATAGGCCGATGCTCTATCCACTGAGCCAAGCTGGCTAGGGCTCCTCCTTCCTTTTTACTGATTTTCCTTCTTACTGATTTTACTATCAAGTTTATTGAAAGGATGAACTATATCCTATATTGTATGTCTGCCTTTCCTGACTTCCCAACGAAGTGATCTGCCCTTGCTAAGGATTATCAGTGTCTTCCTAGTGCTAAATACAAAGGCCCTGTTATAGTCCCTGCTTTTCCAAACCTCTCTCCAAACTAGCACACAACACTCAACCTCAAATGCCATAGGTACTAAGCTAAACTCACTTTCTTTCCCCTCAAATATAATTATCCTGCTAGTTTCCCTATCAGTTAAGTTGGAAATCATGATGGTATTCTAGTTTTCTTCTGCATCTCATTATCTAATTAGCCACCAAGACCTATTGTTGCTTCTACTGCCTTCCCTTCCTCTCTGTCCTCACACTAAGCATCTTTAGGCCTATCTTTGACTCAATAACCTCATAACCAGATCCTCACTCCTTTTCAATCCATTATCTTATCAGCTGCCAGATGTTTCCAAAACATCAATCTATCACATTACTACCATCCCAACAACTAAAGCAGAGTTTTCAAAATTGGGTCACAGCTGAACCCATTAGTAGATTACAAAATCAGTTTAGTGTATTACAACTAGTTTGTTTTTTTAACTGAAATGGAATAATAAAGAAGACAAAATGCACTTCACATTTTGAGAATATATGTAATTTTGTACAACTTTTAGGTACATGTATGTGAATATGTGTGTGTACGAAGGAGTATTATCCTTACAAGTGAGCAAAAAGCCTCTGTTCTGGCGTTCCTCTGGCTGTGTCCCCCTCTCCCCAGGCAACCAAGTACTGGGGTCCCCAGTATTCCCTACCCAAATGGCTCTGAGCCAGCTTCCTCAGCCTCAATTCAGGTCAAGTACACTGCCAGTGTGTGTATGTACCTCCAGCCCAAGGGGTAGCCAAAGGCTATGACTTGAAGGAGGAAGCTTGGACCTTGGGGCAAAAGGAAGAGGGAACAAAGAGGATAGAGCAGGGCAATATGCTTCCCCTACTCTTCTGTGTTCCTCCTCAGAGAATTCTTAATGCAGACCCGCCTGTGAGAGTGGAGCACTGACAGCACCGAGGGACCAGAGTCCCCTGCGGACAGGCGGACACGGTCTGGGCGGCCTGGAAATCCAGGTGTCTGGCCAGTGAGGACGGGAAGGAGTACTGAAAGAGCTCCTCCCCAAAAAAGAAGAAAGGAAAGAAGGTGTCTCTCTTACAGACTGCAAAACCATTGGAAGAGAAGGCAGAGGGAGCCTTCTCCTGACCTCACACTTGGCCTTGTTACTATTATCCCTTCATTTCCCCAGAGTTAATAACAGCATTTTAGTGGAAAACAAATGTAATTTCAAATTTGCACTATTCTCAGTTATTTGGTTTCACACACAGAATTCACTGTTTTTGTTTGAAATATGTTTGTCAAGGTAGTTAGGTATATCCTCTGTTCACGCTTAGTTTATTGCCTTAATTTATAACTTTTATAATAATTAGCTATATTGTGTCCCAACCTGTCCTCTTGCCCAGCCACTGCAAATTCAAGGGCGACAAGGCTTGATAATAAGGCATCATGAAAAAAAGGTATGTTGTTTTTTTTTTACTATGGGCCTCGGACAAAATGTTTGAAAGCTACTGACGTAGGGACATCAAGTTCACGTTCTGGTGCATGGTGCACCATGACTGCCTTGCTTTTCCATCTCTAACCCACACTGTGGCCTTTACTCTCACCAAACCAAACTATTGCTATCTTAGTTCACAGCCTGCATCCTCAGTCTTCCCCAGCTCATCACTGACAAACTTTGATTCAACCATCAAGACTCACATCAATCCTCAACCCCCTCCCCCACTCTAGAATCCCTGACACCTTTGCCTATTTAACTCCTCAGACTTTCTCCACATATTAGCTTAATTATGGTTTCTTTGAAGAAGAGTGGCCAGCCTAGATTAAATCCCTTTTAGATCACCAATCACTCCTTCATTCTCATCAGAATTGTCATTCCTCATTTGCTCATGACTCATTTTAAGAGTCAATAATTGTGGCAGACATTATTTGTTGCCTATTTAATGGTTTTTCCTAATAACAGAATATCAATTTTTGAAGGGTGCTAAAATGTGGCCACTCAGGAACAAATCATCAGTAGGTTAAACTCATTGTGGCAATGCTATCCTCCTTTTCTCCTCTGCGTATGATTGGTTCAAGGGCATGCATGTAAGTAAAAGCACCTTTGAGCAGTAAAAGGCAGAGGGGAGTCTGCTGGGGATACTTCTCGGAAAGGTATTTATCTGTGGAAAAAAGAGGTGATTTAGGATTAAGGCCCTTTTTCTACCCTCTCCCTGCTTCTTGCCTTTGAAATTATATGTAGCCTGGAGCAGAGCCAAGCCTTCTGCTTGCTCTATGGCTGCCGCTATTTCTGTTGGAATTTGTTTACCCTCTATAATTGAAACTTTGTAGCCTTGAGTAGAGTAAAACCGGTGCTGGAAGCCAAGGGAAGGAAAACCTATTGCATGAATCTCTTCATGCAACGGGCCTCTAGTATATTAATAATAGGGGAAACTGGGTAAAGGAGAATTTGGAGCTATGTATCATCTTATTAATTTTTTTGCAAATCTAAAACTATTCAAAAAGTAGCCTATTGGGGGGAGGGGAAGGGAGCCAAAGCTAAGGGACTATCACTGTAATATGGGTGAAAGATGATAAAGATGATGATGAAGCAGTAGATATGTGGAAGTCAAATTCAAATTACATTTTGAAAGTGCACAGCACAAAATATGGTGGCAGATTAGATATGGAGGGTGAGGGAAAGGCAATAATCAAGGTTGACTTGAGTGTTTTCTCAAATAATTGGGCAGACAATGAATACTACCTTTAATTAGTAAATGGGGGAGAGGGGTAAGAATAGATTTTGTTTGCCACCTCTCTCTATTTCTAATTCCTGTTTTATTCTTGTGAGCTATAGGATCAATAAGAAAATTTTAAGCTGTATGATCCCACACAGGATCTCAGATTAGTATAATTCTTTTTTTTTAATCACAGAGATACTAAAATCCTACTTTATAACG